TCTGCAGGTCTTCATTATGGGAGATTTTGACTTCTCTCGACTTTTTGCCGCTGAATGTTTATCTGCTGCTTTAGGAGATTTTCAGGAGTCATCAGCGGAAAACTCTTTGACTTAGCATGTCTCGGTGAACTAGTCAGGGGTTTGACGGTTAGGCATTCTGACTAGATTGCATTTTCACGAATCAGTTAATCGAGGTAACCAGCTTGAATGTTCTTATCCTTTTTGGATTCAGTGACGATGCGGCTGTTTCATTCAAAGCTTCTATATCTGAGTCACCTACTCCCCAGCAGCCATTGGTCAGGAGTTATAGGGGAACTGATTTCAAAAAGGCCCGACAAGACGTAGAACGTTCCGCTTGCTTAAATTGCGATGGCCTATTGGATTCAGATTCCGGGTGGGAACTGTTGAAAAGTCCAATCCTCCAAACGATAAATAATAGCACTCCTGCCAGCCAGCGAAGAAACAGCAAGGTTCACTCCTCTTGGCTAAAGTCAAGCACACGTATGCTTATTCAGGGTAAAAAGTTACGTTGGAATCAGTGGGGGGTCATTAGTGGCTCCACTGACCAACTAAATTGCAAAGACACCCGTAACCGATGTTCGATAGGAATCGGAAAAGACAGAATAAACTACCAGAAAGCTGTGTAGAAGCCTGGAAGGGAATCATGGGATGTAGTACTCGTTGATAAGCAGAAGAGTAACAGTTCACTTAGTGTACAGGACCTCAGTTGTCTAGAGGTTCTCCGCATTAACTCTGAGGTAGCCCACAGCGTCGCAGTGAAACCGTTCAGATCCTGCTTGCTTGCAAACTTCTTCACCGTCAAATTTAAGCCTCTATCTTCATATAGTCCACGCAATCGTGAATGTACTGTACCTGTAGAAAAGTACCGCCTTAAACTTAGGTTACGATCCTTTATGTTACAGTACAGCAAGTTATGGAATAAGCTTCCACGTTTTATTCGCCCTTGCATGTCTGCATTTCAGTTTCGACGTCTACTCAACGAATTCTTCCTTTTCACGGATATCCATGAATTTCTTGACATTCATAATATATCCACAAATACGAAGCATAATCGAGCAATCGGCACATAACAATGGTCAAGCCATTGCGTCCGCTATGAACGTACTCAGATCTCTAAATGTAATAATCGGTTTTATTAAAGCCCTGAAGTTCGTTTAATGCAGATGGCCTCACGACTGCATGCAAGGGTGTGAATACCGGCTCCTCTCCGTATAATGAACTTAAAAAGTACTGTTTATTAATGAAAGCCACTACGGCACACACACCCCCTCCCAAAAAAACGACTTGATAACCCTATAATAAAAGGGCTATGTAGTTGGCTTAACATATATACATGAAAATGTACATCAAGTCCGAATAAATCAAAAAAAGGATAGGGACCTTTCTCTTCTCCAAATTTGATAGCGTAGTAATCTGTATTTCCATATCTGCTCGTGCCTCTCCTTTCTTTCCCCATTTGCAGAAACAGCTGCAAGCCGACATTTGATGTTCAAATTCAGTCTGAACGTGATTACTTTATAGGAATAACACCTGCTCATTGGCGCCAATAATTATTGGACTACTCCCGCTCTTTCGCGAATTCTGGACCATCTTCAAGATTAGCTCACCTACTCGTCATGATTTTTCTTGCGACGAACCGTCTGACCATTCCCAACAGTACCAGTAGCAGAGACATTCTGAACAGATGATTGAACCAGAGACCAATTAAAATATTGACTCAGGACGTCACTTACCTGCAATGGCTCCACACTAGATATTTTCTAGTACTCTGTACCAAGAGACCTTTTCATATGGAACTTACTACGCGTCAAATACACTTCTCGAATGATGCCACCTATGCTAATACAAAAGATGCTCGAAGTCTATGGACTATTGACTGTTTCAACACCTATTTTCACCCAATACAAGAAGTATTCCCAGCAGAATTAATCTATATCACCTTTAAAAGTAACATGGTCACCTGGAGATGCATTGATATAGCCATACACATTGGTTATATAACTGTGGATACTTTACTGATACCCCGGATTGTGGTTAGCAAACTAAAAACTGAAGATCACTCCAAGTAATAAACTATTATATTACTAATCAGCAAACTATGCGAACGGACTAACGACGTCGGTTGGTTATTAGGCAAACTTTGAACACTGCGCGCTTTTGATATTGATAATGGAACCTATCTATGTGATGAGAGATGGCAATCCACATCCGTCTCACGAATTTCAGCAAATTTCAATAAGATTATGCACACTTATGACTTGATATGTAAATTATGTAACACTAGAGACTTTCAAAAGTTATGACTTTGACGGTGCTTGTTAACTGGTATCCCTCATGTTAAGCCTGTTAAATGAAGGCGACATTTACTATTATCTAAACTCTAATGCCCTATGTAGGCTGTAAAGTAATATTTCCTTGTTCATTTCATAACTAGCAGGACCTTCGGCAGTTTTTAATTGAGTTTAATGACAATCCATCAGTACCACTCAGGGCTCAAGTCTTGTAGACATTTTGAGATGTATCAACGTGATGAAGCCTGTAAACTGGCTTCTCTCATGTTAAAATCCTTTTTTAACACGAGAATTAAACATTTATTTATTTTAAAAATTTCGCTCAGTTGGAAGGCAGACTTCTTGCTGAAGTGAAGGGCTCCAAATCAACCTCTGAATGTGGTCGCTTACTAGTTAACTTCTTACTATCTGGCAACTTTTCTGGCTCACTGAACACACCAACAGTATCTTTCATGGCTTTTCGTATACTGGGCCTTCTTAATGTATAATGGGACATCCGCCATACTTACACTGACCTTTCATACGAAGCGTTGCGGAGAATTCCGTAAGTATTGACCCCAAACTAAGGGCATGTCCTACCCTGCCCGACAAAGTAATCAAACGCAGAAGTTCTGTACTACAAGACAGCATGAAATTTATGTTCTTAAGTACTCAATCGAAAAAGCACATACAATGCACGCCATAGCGAACAAAGTTAAGCAGGGATGAACATGAACACTCTCCTTGCTGGAATTCTAGCTTCTTTCTCTGCCTGCTACTTTGCCTGTTTTTTCCCATTGTGGAACAACAATTCAGTTCTGAATGTTGGCTTGATCATCATCAAGAATTAATTATTTAAGGAACAGACCCTGACTGAAACTATCCTCCATGGGGGGTAACCAGCTTTACTGTGTTCACAATACCTAATAAAAAAGGTCCACTGAACCACAACTTCATAAGTATCTAAACCTGGGATTTACTGATAAAACTGACCAAGAAAGTCCAACACTTACAGGCCGCAAGGCTGTCACGGACAGTGCAAACGACGGACAAGATGTTCTGAAAGTCCACTCGGCACATTCAAACTAGTCTATTGCTTCTGGATGCCGGAGTTGGAAAAGTGAAAATATTTGGCTTGCAGTCGTAATATTCACCAAGATTGTGAATCTCTGATGTGGAGTGGTACTGCCATGCATTACACATGAATTATACAGTTCAGGAACCACCAGTGAAGTACAATAAGTAAACAATTTGTGCATACATTCCCTCATAAACTTTTCATGATTATCTCAAGCGAAAAGTACAGATGGTTACAATGGAAGTATCAGCTTCAAGCTTCTTTTTTTTCTCTCCAGATAATACATGTAGTGTCGACAACTTGTAAATTTTTGCATACTTATTCTGCTTGGATGTCCCATTGTAGGAACATGCAGGAATTATGTCTTCTAGTGACAATAGGTGGGGATAGCGATCACCTTCCATGAAGACGTGCAATTTACATAAAAGCATATTCACACACGTAGAAATGGTGCGTGCCTGCGTATTTAGGAACAAATATTGGTGTTACTACTATTCGGGATGAACAACCTGCAAGATACCAGTATTAAAGGGTGGTTAAGTCATATGGAGTTTGAACCGATATAATCAAAGGAGTCTTAAAGAGCCAGGATCCGAATAAGTCTTCAGGAGTTGATGGCGTTCACACAGGAGTACTCAGAGAACGTGCCAATGTCATGAGTGCCCCAACTAGCTAACCTCTTTGAGTGCCTGTTTCTAAAAAGCAAGTTACCCCCAAATTGGAAGCCTGAAGCTGTCGTCCCAGGGCATAAGGGTGGAAAATAACCAAGTGCCTATAACTATAGACCAGTGTCCCTGATCTCTTCAGTAGTGAAGGTTAGTTAAAGAGTGACAAGCCAAGCTTTTTTTAATTACTTACTCAATAATTCAGTCGTAAATGTCAGCATGGTTTTTAACGCGGAGGGCCATGTAACACCAATTTGTTGATGGCTTGGAATAGCTGGACTTTCTCTGCTGCACAGAAAAGGCCCATTCACATTGGTTTAGTTGGCCTCTCTAAGGCTTTTGACAGGGTAAATCATGATATCCTCTGTGAGAAACTTCAGCTTATAGGTCACAGTCAGAGTTGGATCCTCTCCATTTGATTGGCTCCTGATGCTGAGTGGTGTGCCTCAGGTTTCTCCCCCGGGTTCGACCAGTTTCTTGCCTTCATCAATGACCTGCCGGAATCTCTCAACTCTCACTTACTATTACATGCGGTTGATTTGAAGATTTGGAGGGAAATACAGGTCTCAAAAGTGGAACTCTTCCTTCACTTGTTACAGCCCCTTTCCTAGATACTTTGGAAAGAAAGTTAGATGCGCACCTAGAGCCTCGTTCTACCGATGGGCTGTACTCAAAAAGCCTTCCAAGGACAGAATTTTCTCTAATGAGACAGACGCAGAACTCAAGGAACAATTGTGTACTAATTCTACAGCACGAAGTCTGAAGTTTGATGTTTCTATAGGTACAGGATGTGCGTCCGATACCGTCGAAAGTCTATTTCTCAAATAGCTGGCAATGTATAGAAACACTACTAAGGGTCATGAGTGACTCAAAAAACACCAGTTGAACATTGTACTGTGACTTTAAATCCTTCACTAGCTCACCTTAGTTCTGCGCTTCACATTGCAGTTTTTGAAAAAAGTAACGATGTATGGAGGTTCGACGTCCTTTGAAGACGATGAGTACGATTATCTGTTTAAAGGTAATAGAGGATTAAGCAATTTATCTCAGTTGAAAAGTTGTGCTAATTGGAGATTCCGGTGTTGGGAAAAGTAATTTGCTCTCCCGTTTCACAAGAAATCAGTTCAATTTGGAAAGCAAAAGTACTATTGGAGTAGAATTCGCTACAAGGTAAACCCATACAGAAGTCTGAATCAGGTGTTTAGGAGTATCCAGATCGATGGAAAGGTAATAAGGGCTCAGATTTGGGATACTGCTGGTCAGGAACGTTATCGAGCCATTACATCTGCGTGAGTTTCATACCCTTTTTTGAATGGTATTATTTCATTATGCTGTCTTTAAATCGTAGTTTATTCCATAGTATGGTTTTAAAAACACCTTTTATAGCAATGGGGCTCTGTTTCTCTCCTAACCTACAGATAACTGAATACAGCTTGTTAAGGTAGTATAATCAATCTGTTCACTTCAAGAATAAATCAGTAGAAAGTGAACGCTGTGGTACTTTTTTTCTTGAGTAAACAGATATGGATGGAAATATTGGCTTTTGTAATGTTGTCATTGGTGTTTGGTCTTCATTGAAGGAAAGTTGGTGGACACATGGTGGGACTATTTTTTGATTTGTGGCACTGATTAAGCGTTTTCAATCTGAGATAAAACATGCAGGTTCTTGCAGGATGAATATATAGGAATGCCAAACTGATTTGATTGGCATTTAAAAAAAGGGAATACTAATACAGAGAAGTCGGAGATAGTTCATTGATCAGGGTTGTATCAGTTATCTGTAGTCGTTAGCTGAGTACAGCTTACTTTGACTTACTGAAATTACGACCTACAGAGACAAATTAACAAAGCATGACAGAACCGCACTAATTTGTTATACTACGCTACAACACAAACAGAAAATAATACTAAAGTCGACAAGTGTAAGACAATAGAGAGAGTAAGTAGACGGAGATAAGTCGTGGTTTTAAGCCGATACAAATCGTTAAGGGAGTGCAACCAACTTTGGTAGTCAATTTTAAAAGGTTTATTCTATATCTATATGTCTTAACTGGATTTTGGCTAGGGTGTACATTTGATTATAGGTAACAATCCTCTTATGCCAAACAACACTTCAAAAAACTAATTTTCCTGGGAAAAACCCAGTTTTCTTAACACGTTGAGTAGGAATTTAAGAATGTTCGGGATACGTTTTTGACCACCCAAATTAAAATGGTTGCTCTAGGACTCGTCTTTTAAGGTACATCGTCTAACTGTAGGGAGTGAAGCGGTCGGGTGTGTTGGTCACTTTAATTACCTTGGAAGTTTGGTCAACTCTGGTGGGTCAGTGACCGATGAAACAGCACGGAGACGAAACGCTCGCTTGGCTTCCGCCAACACACCATCTGTAGCGCCACCGTGATGTCCAATTGTCTTTTAGAAACCGAATGTACTGCACTGCAGTTCGGTCTGTTCTATTGTCACTGCCAAACCTGGCCGTTGAATGTGGAAGACATGATGAGATTTCATGTGCTCGACCATAGTCGTCATCGTAAGGTATTCCGTGTGTCGTCTCGTCACCACATCAGTAACGTAGAAGTCATGTGTAGCATTTTAGGGAGTTAAGTCAGTTGAGGTACTGAATCTTCATTGACTGAGATGTCTGTGATATGTGTGACTCATGCCTAGTTACCATTTGTCCCATCACAGTGTTAACTGAGTTACGTCTAGGTTTGAGTAATGTTTGTGGTTGCGAAACTGAAGCGTAGCATAAGTCGATGAAGTTCCGAACCTCTGGTGTATGTAGGGTTATGTAATCTTTTCGAATTGGGTCTGCGTGGCAAGTGAAATCGGTCACCAGGATCACTTTTGTTAAGGTACAGTGTTAGCTCTTTTTGTACCTTGTACCATGGTGTGCCAAAGTGAGGTATGTCGATTTTGACTAATGTTGGTTTTGACTAGCTGAATGACTGACGCCAAATTCTGTATTGATGTGTGTTTGGTTTGATGGTGAGTTCTTAGAAATCCGTGCGATGAAGATAAGGTAGGCAAAGTAAACGACGAAATGTGATGTAAGGATTCAGTTTCACTACGATTGACTCAGCTATGATTTTCTTCAGCGGTCAATCTCGGTTTCACGTGGATCATAGCGTGAAGACCTACGTTTCCTCACATAGTTTAGAGCGGTAGTCAATGAATTCATGGATTAGTGCCACATCTCGATTTCACTACCCTGAAGTTATTTTCCAAATGAATCATCTCAAGCTAGCATAGTTCGTTAGGGGGTAGCTGCAATTAACACATTAACCGACGTAAAGTCCACAGCCTCATCAACTCATCTCCATTTAAGGCTCTTTGTGCAATGTCTATGTTGTTAGCTTAGTGATTTCGCTATTTAAACGACATTACAGAGGTGACGGTGGTTAAACCACTGAAAAAAATTCGAAATGTAACTCAGCAACTTTATGGATGCTTTTGTAGTAGACAGTGAACCTAATCTATTATGAAGGCTTAAAATACTTGCTGGATGCTCAGATCTAAGTAGGTGAAGCTGGGTTCGAAAGTGCAGTCCACTGGTTGAAAGTGTAATGCCTTGATCAATGATTCAGAGCTCAAATCACCGGAGCATTTTCATATTTCCCATATTCTTTATCCACATCTCAAAGCTATAGAGTTGGGCGGCAGCAAACTGCTTTACTGTACAATTAACCTGCAATCGTTTATCTCACTAGTACCGTGAGTTGTATAAGTTGCCGAAAACCATTTAAGCATCGTAACCACACTGAAGTTTCTTCGATCACTGACTGACCAGGACTCGTATGATTAATCCAGCTAACCACCACTTCATATCGTCAGACGGGGTTTCAATACGGATCAGGTCAAAAACAAGAAATGAACAAAGTGAAACGCACTCAGTAACCTTTTACGCATTCGTGCAGTAGGCAGGTAGCCACACCTACTTGGATTCTCAAATCCCGGTTGGTGGGATGGTGTTCAAACCCATGACCCATTGGTCGAAACTCAACTCCGTATACCAGTGAGCCACAGTTTCACGCCAGAAACAAGAATTTACTTTTGATGTCCTATGAACTTGACAAAGTTGTTTCGCGTGTTTGTTTCATGTATGTAGGCTTCAACTGTTAAGAATGCTTAAGGTTTTATGGCCTCTCACATGCTTCTAAATAAAAATGATATTCCGTTGGGCTATAACTACAAAGAGTTTTTGTTCCTGAATACGAAAAACTCAGTTCCTGTTAGTGTAAACAAAAGAAGTCCAGTGATTTTATTCTCTTCTATTTCAGTCCATTTCATTTTGCCATAACAATTTCACTTCTCTTAATCCCTATCATATCATCACAATTTATCTGATATTCACATTTGTTATTTCACGTAATCTCCGCTCAACTACTTTAAAATGAAATCACATCATATTCATATAAACGGGATTGTATGGCTTTTGTTAATGAAATCATGGCAAAAAGAAATTTTCTTCGGTGAAATCTTCATTTTTTGTCTCAGTGGGAATTGTCAGTTGTGTTGAATCGTCACAGCTTTCTGAACGGGGTATATAGAGTAAACTGTTTTACGAAAGCCCTTAATTTTCTCTATGCTTAATAGATCATAAGTATTGGCAATCCTCCTTCTTGGAAGCGACAGATCTAAGACCAGATAAGTTTCAGTTTTAACATTGAGCTTGTCAGCGAAGTTCTCACGCTTCACTGGATCATAGAACATAGCCATAATAAGGAATACAAGCCATATTTATTCACCCGAAAGTGATAGACTTTCAACAGGAGTCCTGTATCTATGTTTTACTGAGGCACATGATCTACAAATATATCTTACAAAAATAAGCTGACTAGTTGAGCATGTGACTTTATCATTCCTTACTGTCAGAGATATTTACATAAAATTGGATCTGTCAAGTAGTATCGTGTTAAACTTCATCTCTCAAGGAAGCTAATCTCTTTCCCAACCATTACTCAACAACTAGAGTAAGTGAGTATAATCTTGTTAGGTGGTAACGCTGAAAAAACAAGGTCCTCTGGAAAACCCGGTCAAAAATGTGCAAATACTTAAGATGCATTTTCCACTTACTAAATCCAAAATGTTGCTTCAGGAGGAATTTTCACTGGTGCCATGTCATACAATAAAAACAAAAATTGTTATATGTGTTAATCATTTCACTAACCTAAAAAGTCGCTCATACTTTTCGTCCGTGTGACTTGCACCTACTGACAGCATTTGGGCATCGGTGAATTATCCACATTTATTATTATTATTTAGAACTGAGCATACTTTAGTAGTCTTCTGTCATACCATAGATCTATTAAACACAAATACGTGAAGAATTTGCTAAGAGTTGATTTATTCTGCCACTGGTGATCCTAAATGACAGAACAGTCATATGAGCAATGTGTAGGGTACTAAATAAAAGAAGTAAGTCTGCTAATGCAGTTATGAATCTTCATCGATTGCAGTGAATGCAGTATGTATTATACATATCCAACCACTTCACTTCGACACGATTTTGTCAGACATAGAGACAGACAAAATCAATGAAGAACCTCGCAAACAATTGCATCATCACATGCTGCCACAATTCACAGTAGCATGCAAAAAGCAAGTGGATAGAAAAAAGTGATATTAAAGTATACAATTGCTCATGAGAGGAGAAACAACTTGAAGATAACGGTTAGTACAAATATTCAAGGTTTAGAAGACGTCTAGGTGTGAATGTATCTCCCATCTCACCAAGAGTCGTCAACCACTGATTCATGCCATCTTGAGGATCCCAACCAGGCAGTCTACATCTTCCTACACTGCTCAGACTAACAGTCGGGGATTTCATGCACTGATGAAACGTCTTGGTCAGACCACCCTGAACCCCCTTCCAACCTAATCCAGCTTCCCGTAGCATGACACATTGAGGTAGGTGGTCGCTAGGCACACACAGTAGTAGAAGTAGAATACGACCGGTCCATAGTCTCTTGGAGCCTACACTATCACTGAAATCGATTGTCATGGACTTGGTATGATGAAGTGGTTCAACATCGGTCCCAGTTTTACAGACGCATTCATACCTGATTTTTCGGTAGATTAGTATCATCTTATCAATGAACATTATGTTGCATGTGTTGTATTTTCTATTATCTTATAAATGTCAATTTCGTGTATCTAAAAGTAACGAAAAAATGAAACGGGTTTCAAATGAATTATCCTACACCTGTTTACTTTGCTTGAATGTATAAATCAAACTTAAGGTCTGGCTGTTATGTAGGTGTCTTCGAGTTGCCACACTATAGACAAT